GGTCGTGGACAAATCGGGAAAATCCATAGTCAAATTCCTGGAGGAGCTCAACAGCACCGGGTCTGTATGAACCGTCAGAGATTCACTTCATCAACACTATTTAAAAAATCTGAATTCAAGCCAAATTTAACTCGCTGTTTCCCACAGTGCGAATAAGAAACGTCCCTTCACTATGGTGGGAAGCTCCCGGCTGGGACGGACTCTTTATAAGGAGCAGTTTGTCTGTTTTTACAGGTACAGTGTTTGGTACATTATCAGAATTATGTTATCAAAACTGGTGTAAAAAGCTTAAAGGGATAGTTCACTTTGAAATTAATTTTTGGTGTGTTTTGGTGTGTTAAGTCCAAATTAAACATGATTTAATGACTAAATGTAAGTACACATTGATGGCCTAAGACACGAAACGAGCGGTTTGTGTGAGAAAACGAACAGTATTTATATCGTTTTTACCTCTTGTAACCGCAGCCACGTCCAAGTGATCTGAGGGCGCCGGCGCTTCGGTCTTTTCCGGAAGTGATCTCTCGCGCGTGTACGTCACTCATTCAATTGTTTTTTTAATGTTTTTTTTTTATTGTTTTCTTTTACGACGGTTTAAACATCCCGTATAAGTGCAAATTAGTACCAATTTAATTAGCCGTCTTACCTACAATCTCTGTTCTGTGTAAACAATGAGTGACGTACATGCGCGAGAGATCACTTCCGGCGCTTGCGCAGACCGAAGCGCCGGCGCCCTCAGATCACTTGGACGTCGCTGTGGTTACAAGAGGTAAAAACGATATAAATACTGTTCGTTTTCTCACACAAACCGCTTGTTTTGTGTCTTCGCCCATCAATGTGTACTTACATTTACGAGTCATTAAATCATGTTTAATTTGGACTTCTCTGTGCATGCTCTTTGAGGTGGTGACCATAGACCTGCATTATATGACTGACAGACAAGAACGGTTTGACCTAAAAATATCAAAATTGAAACTACTGCGGAAACAAAGACACATACATCTTGGATGCCCTTGAGGTAAGCTAAAACATACCAAAAATGTATTTCAAAGTGAACTATCCCTTTAATTGAATCAGAACTGAGATGTTTAATTATGAACAGTCATTCATATGGCACTAACAAAACTATTTGGTTCATATCTACTAGAGAAGACGAGGCTGAACTGGTTGACACTTACCAATATGAAGACAATCAAGAGGGCGATGAAGACGCTTTCTCTCGAGAGCCGTTCATTCTGCGTTTCAAGTGTAAACACACAGGTAATCAGCTTCTGTTAAAGGGAGAGTTCACCCAAAAATGAACATTTTGTCATTAATTGCTCACCATCATGTCTTTCCAAACCAGTAATACTTTTGTTCATCTTTGTAACACTAATGAAGATATTTTAATGAGATCTGAGAGATTTCTGTCCCTCCATTGACAGCTACGCAACTACCACTTTGACGCCTTAAAAAAGTTCATAAAGAGATCGCAAAACTAATCCATATGAATCAAGCGGTTTAGTCCAAATATCCTAAGGAGATTTGATCGTTTTACATGATGAACAGATTTATTTTAGGCTTTTATTCACAAATAGGCTAAACATTAATCAACGCAAACATCAGTTGTGGTAAACGGAAGCTCAAGCATGTTCTTCCACATACACCAATAAGGTTCAATATAAAGATTTAAGTATAACAGCCATTTTTATTCTGCTATTGTAATCATCCATCTGAGTATGTGTGTAGGCGTGTAAGAAGAATGAAATGAACTTGCATGGAATATGTTTGCATATGTTGGGCCATTTTGCCATTAGATGGTATAAATGCAAGCTGTGCATCTCAATCCGCCATTAAATAGTATTTGTAGGATGAGCGGGGGACTCTAATATAATTAAGTTGGGGTCTCTCATTGCGCTTTCAAAACAGACTGGATTCACAAACAGCAAATGGAAGAATTGATAAACAATATTGGTGCAGATTTTGAACATTTATAAGATGTATTGATCCCACTTAGCTATAGGAAAACTGTATAAAAAAGGTTGTTTGAGAGCTGGTCCGGTAGTTGTGTTTCTGCAGACCAACTCTGTTTTATTCCTTGTAATAAAACCTATTTTCTGGCGTCAAATCTCCAAGACTTCAAGAGTGATGTTTCCGATTTAAAGAAGACACTTCAGTTTGAGCCTCCTCAAGAACCAATGAGGTTCGATCTCGTGTTATGCGGCACGTTTGAGCTTCAGCAAGAACAAATTAGGTTTGTTCTCACGCATTAAGCAGGTTCGGTTGAGCTTCTGTTTATGTTCCCTGATCAATGAAATATATGTGAATAAAAGCCTAAATTCAATCTGTTCATCATATAAAGTGATCAAATCTCTTCAGAAAATTTTGACTCAGTTCACATTGATTAGTTTTACTATTTCTTTATGAACAAAGTGGTAGTTGCGTAGCCTGTCAATGGAGGTACAGAAATCACTCAGATTTCATTAAAAATATCTTCATTTGCTTTCCGAAGATGAACGAAAGTCTTTCTGGTTTGACATGACATGACATGAAGGTGAGTAATTAATCACAGAATTTACATATTTGGGTGAACTAACGCTTTAAACCTTGGACAAATACACTTTAATTTCTAGACCAATTCTACAGCCTAGACTAAAAAGCCTCCAGTGAGAGAAAGCATGAATTTAATCTAAGATTACATGCATTTTCAAGTGAAATTTAAATTAAACATTCTCCCAAAATAGAAATGCTGGCATCATTTACTCACCCTCATGTGGAATGAATGTGAAATGGCACTTTTCAATTTCATAAAAGACGTCCATCCATACAACTCATTTGAGAAACAGACCCACACTAAAGTTGTTATTCACCCATCCATTATAATTGCATATTCCTTACATGACTGTGAATGTTTCAGGAGTTGGATCACATGAACAACCGGCACTCCCATTGCTAGTCAATTTAGTTTGTGTTTGTTTTTTCCAGTGCTGAAAGATTTGGTGCTGATTCCTGTTCACACAAAACCTAAAGACTCACAGAAGGAACTGGATGAACTATATGATGTGTTTCTGCACGTTAAGGATAAATGGGAAACGGATGTGAGTTTAACACTATGCAACCATAACAAATTCCAGAAGGAATGCATGTACTGATAAAATGTATAGCTGAATGTCTTACAAGTTTTTGGGGGGATAAAGCATCTGAATGTACACATCTCAAGGACATTTATCTGATGGGGAAATAAAGCAATCCTTGTCTAAATAAAACACACAACTTTAACCAAACATTGATTAGAGTTTAAAAGTAAACTCACACATACCGTCCTACAGAACGTCATGATCCTTGGCGACTTCAATGCAGACGGCGCCTACGTCTCCAAGAAGAAGATGAAGGCCATCCGAATCCGCAGTGATCCCGATTTCCACTGGCTGATCGATGACGATGTTGACACCACAGTCATACAGTCCAATGACCACACCTACGACAGGTGAGGCGGAGAAACATCAATAATTTGCACATCAATAATCATCTGCTAGGCTGTTTAAAAATGAAGAATTCATAAGTTAAATGCACCTTACACCTCGTCTACACTGGATGCTAGTGGCACATCGCTGATTATAATCCCTAGGGGTGTAACGAACCCTCATGTCACGATTCGATACATATCACGATACGATATTATTGTGATACTCTCAAGAAATTTGGTGGAAGGTTAACAAAAAAATTACTGTTGATTAAAATGCTAAATTGGTATTACATTGGGGGTTGAAATGAATAGGCTTGGACTTGGTGTTGGAAACCCAATGCACAGGACAATGGTGACAAGAATACAAATATTCATGTTTCTGAAGCTGAAAATACAGAATATTTTTCAATAATCGCTCCCAGTTTAGACATGGTGTTAAGGTGTGGTCACATTGGCGCATTTTCAGCGAAAAGCTCAATTGTCTATAATCAATAGTATAGTGATGCATAAAGCACAGCTCAGGTCAGGTTCCTTTATTTATACCCGTAGGTAAATTAAGTTCCAGAGAACAAGTTTAGGCTATTTCTCAAACATATAAACGATAACACCATACGGACAAAACAAGACACTAAAATCACACTAAAACAACCTACTCCATCTTAATAGTATTCATAAAATGAATCACTACTGGAACAAAGCTATTTTTATATCTTTTTGTTGTACACTAAACTAGTACTCTAAACCGTCGATTGGACGGCAGATACTGGAACTCATAATACAGCGGATGAAGCTGGTCACTCAAGATTGAAATACCAATGCGTTGTACCTGCCTAGTATACAACGAAGCCGGGTTCAGTAATGGTTCCCCAATCAACCTACTGGACCATTTCACAATCTGATTAATAGAGTCCTGACTCTTTAAAGTTAGGTTCCCGTACCAAGATACCAAAGAAAAGGAGAGTACGGATTCAATAAAAGCACGATAAAACATACTCAACTGTGTTTTCTCAATTTGAAATTGACACAATTTCCTTAAAAAGACACATGCCCCTTTTTACACACCGTTTCACAGTTGGCTTCAAAACTCAACTTTGAATCAATGATTGTCCCAAGGTATTTGTAAGACTGCACAGCTCACACAGAAGACACTTTCAAACCAAGCAAACTTCTGTTGGTCAGAACATGAGAGAAAAATGTGGTGAAATATTTCGCCATCACACCAAATTCCCAATGTATTCCAATTGAAAGGACTGGATTTCGCCTGCAAACACTCACTGATGTGACCGCACCTTCAGAGTATGAATGTTAAATTATCACTATTGATTAAAAGAGGAGCAAAACATAGCTTAGATGTAACTAGAAGACTAAATGCATAAAATGGCAGGTCAATCTGCATGTTAAGCTTTTGAAAATATTGTATTTTTCTAGAATTGTGGTGTATAAAGAAGACATGCTACAAGCTGTTGTGCCAAAATCTGCCAAGCCTTTTAACTTCCAGGAAGCCTACAAACTTTCAGAGGAAATGGTGAGTATATTCATCACAATGCATATCTATTTTTTTTAATGTGGTATAAAGTAAATAATGCATTGATATGATTGATCTATGGCTAGGCCCTGGAGATCAGTGATCATTATCCAGTGGAAGTGAGTCTGAAGAAGAAGTCTGCGGCTAAGCCTAGCGCCAAAACTAAAACTAAGACCTCCAAAACCAAAACAAAGAAATGAAAAGCATGATGGGTTTTGCCACTGCACTACCGTATGGGATCTGAAACATCACTCTTCTGAAGGAGAGATGCTACCTCTTCATAAGGAAATTCAGGGATAAAAATAACTAATTTAAATACAACTGTTTTTTTTTTTGTAGTTCACAAGAATGAATGCTCACAAGTTTCTCGAAATAAACGTTTCACTTTTTATTTAATGTCATTTTTTTTTTGTCCAACAAAAGATTATAATTTCATGCCGAAAGCGTAAATAAATGTGTTAGTAAATATGTGTTTGCACATCTGGAAAAACAACTATTAAAATGCTAGCAAATGAAGGTCAACAAATCTATTTTAACAAAGAGACAGCTCATGCTCAAGCAATGAATCGGCAGGCAAACGTGATAGCAAATAGCAGACCATTGTTATTGTGTAATAATCATGCCTCGTGCACCTCTAGCGAACTCTAATTAAAACATTTAAACAATAAAATTTAACAAGGCTTGTGGAAACATCAGTTAGTGACATTAGCTTCAGCATAATGTCTGCATTACCAAATTAAGATCAATTACTGCAATCCACTTACACTCATCAAGGAATCAAGCAACCTCACAAATGAGATTAAATGGGCAAGAAAACAACAATTTGGTAACAATGAATGTTTGTACCATAATTTTGTAGACCGTAATATAGGTGGTCAAAAAGTAGTCTTTAGATGTGTGACATCCAATAGTTCATCACCAGGGACAGGACAGGCTCAAAGTCTTTCATAAAAATGGCCTTGCTTCTTCTTTCCATCTGATCACATATGTTAATGTGCTACAGTTGTCCCGATTTTGAAAACAGGAATTGAAAAAACGGCAGGGAACTGCAGGCCTGGTGTTTGGACAGGTCTGAAGATCAAAAGCTATAGATAAAAGAGAAAATGAACATTAGTTTCGCATGCAAAAGCAGTGCCTCTCTATGTACTAATAAAGGTTGGTAAAAATGCGTATAAACTCACCGACCTAGGAGGGGATCAAGTCCATCGATGAACATCTTATCAATTCTGTTTACAAACTCTTCTGAATTGTCACTAACTTTCCATAACCTCCCTTTCTTCTAAAAATTATAACCTTCCTAACCTTTAATTTACTATCAAATAAACAGCGATGGTGAAATTTAAGCATGCGTCAGCTCTATTTACAACAGCTAAGATTGAGAATAATCTGTTAATGGCATGAGAATCTAGAACAATTAAAAGATTAAAGTTGTAATGTTGTGTGAATAAAGAAGAAATGTTATGAGTGAAAAAGCGCTGTTACGAGAAACGGCATGATTTTAAAAAAAGTGTTAAATGTTGCTTCTATTTTAAAACATTTAGAAAATTAGTATAGCAATTGGAATCGTAAAGAATTTAACGATTCATTTAAGGGTACTGGTTTGTTAGCGATTCCATTAGCGATTCTTCTATTACTTGAAGAAAGATTATTGTTAAGATATTGTTTTTTGTTTAGTACCAAATATTTGCATGTTTTTAGCAAATTACCATGTAAAGTAACAGTAAGGTCCTGTTTACACCTGGTATTAAGCAGTGGCGGCTTGTCAGGGGAGGCACAGCCTAGCCAAGATTTTGAGGTTGAAATGGGAGAAGGACGATTTAATGTTAATAAAATTCCCAGTTATTAATTTTATGTCTCAGAATGTGTAAATTGTGTTTGTAATTTCACCACTTTAAGTTTAACCAACGTGCGCCCCTTCCCCGAATGTGCCGAATATGTGCAACACGAGTCTGGGATAGAGAAGGCAAATCCATAGCCGGAGACTTGGCCAATCACCATCGGGTATTTCACTTTCAGCGATTAGGAGTGTTGAGAAAAGCTACATGGCAGAGGAGGCTAGATTCCCTTGGTATATCAACCATTCATTGACGAGACTTAAATTACGTGATTTTAGTTTGAACTGCTACCGCTGATGTAACTATGGAGAGAAGAGATACTCAATATTTGATCGCAAACAAATTTACTAAACTACCATTCAAACAACAGCTACAAATGTTAAATAAATGAAGACCCTATGCCTAAATTGGATATAGGCTACAGCAATCAGCTTCACTAAACGGCTGAACGTGCTTTTTTAACATGAACATTTAAAAGGATGTATTTTTTGCTTCAAGTGATAGGCTAGGACTAGGAGAGTGAACTTATATTTATATTGTCTTGATATATGAGTCAGTTTTGAGTCAATATTGTGTCTATAAGTGACCAAAAAAGCCATTTTAATTCAGTTAAAAAAATCCGACCGCTAAAATGTTGTGTACCTCCTCTATTTTAAAACCCACCAGCCACCACTGGAAATAAGATGAGCTTTGGTCGATTGGATCACAAGTGGACGACTCTAAATACAGATGTAAACGGGGTCTAAAAAGTTGAGTTTGTCCACTTTCTACTGTCAAAAACGCATTCACTGCTTTCGTAGTGTAAACACTCATGAGGTCGAATGCGTTCGAACAGCGACAAAAGACCGTCTACTCTCCGCCTTACAGACAGGATTAAAACTTTGACAACTGAAGACCCAAGGAGACGGATTAAAACACCAGGTGTAAACGGGTATGTGTCTCCATTGTCTACTTGTAATTCGTTTGACCAAAACTCATCTTAATTCCAGGTGTAAACCGAGTCACTACACTGATTCAAGTCTCAGTCCAGAAAAATCAATAACAGTTCCCATTTTATTGGTTGCGCTGTAAGTTTGCGGATGCGAATAATGCAATGGAAAGATCGACTAGAAGGACTAAGTATTATTCCTCAAAATTTTCTCTCTCATCCCACTTGACTCAAACTATTATGTTACTTTCATGCTACACTTCTGAGTATTTTTTATTCTTGTGTTTGATTTTGTTCTCATCTATTAGTTTTGGAAAGTGAATTGGACTTAACATATTGACCCTAGTCCAAACTACACTCAAAATCCCAGAACTTTACTCTTCCTCAGTCTCGCTACAACTACCTTGTTCATGCCAGCTAGTGAAACATTCGCGCTTGGGAACGAAGCACAGTGGCACGTCACAAGTCACACACATGACTGGAGTTTTAAAGGTACATATTTTGCATTTTCGCCTTCCAATACTGCTGTCCCCGCTGATGTACTTGGGCAGATGGGAGAAAGTCGAAGGAATCGGGCGTATTTGTGCAGGAGCAGATGGAGGGCCCGTTCCTGCGAGCTCTGCAACAAGAGCCTCCCGAAAGGCCTTCTGGGTCAAAGGCTTCTGGTTCTTTATCTTGGCCATCTGCTGGTGCAAAATGAAGGCATTTACTACAGCGATGTCCACAAAGTGGTAGAAAAAGGATCGATACCATCTTCTTGTTTTATGTAGAACGGTGTAAAATGAAATAAGCGCATCAGACAGATCCACTCCTCCCATGTGCCTGGAATGAAAAGAATAAGATTTGTCATTTAAAAGGCACACACACAAACTTTACACCACTGATTAAAATCTACTAACTTGTTGTAGTCTAACACGGCAGCTGGAACGGGGAAATCTTGAATGGCCCAAACTCCATCGGCTCCTTTCACATTCCTCTTTATGGTGTCTCCATTAAAGGCTTTATGAAAGGTGGAGCACATCAGCACATCCCTCTTGTCCTTCCACTCAACAAACAGCAGGTCGTCTTCCCGAAACCAGCGGATATTGCCACGAGGAGCCAGTTTCTTTGAGTGGCCAATGCGGTTCGCTCGAACGGTGCCACAAGCCCAGATCCTCTTAGCGAGCAAGTCTCTGAAGAGCTTGGGACTGGTGTAAAAGTTGTCCACAAACAGCTTGTAGCCAGCACCCAACAACCTTTCATTTGCCAAGATCATGACAGCATCATAACTAATGCCTTTGCTCTGCTCTAAATTCATTTTTCCCTCATAAATGAAGAAGTCCCATGTGTAGCCACAGAGTGAATCTGCCAGTACGAAGAGTTTGTACCCCCATTTTGTAGGTTTGTTTTTCATATACTGTTTGAGTCCATTTTTAGCCTTTGACGCCACCATTCTTTCATCAATAGAGATGTTCTGAAAGGGATGAAAAGAGGATCTGCATGCGTCCCTAATGTCCTGGTACAGCGGTTTGATCCTAAAAAGGCGGTCATATTCAGGCGTTCCCTTCTTTGCGTCATTCTCTGCATCCAATTTGGGGTCACTAAGATGGAGAGCTTTAGAAATGGACATAAATTTCCTACTTGACATGATTTGTGCAGGATACGGCAGACTGTACATGTGAGACTTCCTCCAATAGTCCGTCAGTTGAAAGCATTTCAGCAAACCCATGTAAATCACCAGTGCTAGGAATGACTTAAAATCTCTTACAGAAATGTCCTGCCATGGCTTCTTCGTTCCGTCATGACGCATGGCCCCGTATGCATTTGAGTTGGCTAGAATTGTCCGCATGACAGATTTTGAAAAGAACAACTCAAAATACTGTAGAGGACTGCATGATGCATTGGAGACCAACTGTGGACCGGGTGTTAGTCTAGGTTTGAAGAGTGGCTGACTCGGCTCAATATCAGGCTCATCTGCACTTTTCCACTTGTCTTCTAAGATGCTTAAGGAAAAAGGTAGAGACCGACTCACACTGCTTTTCCTATCTTTACCTTTCTTACTTTGTACAGAAGCAGGGGAATCAGATCTGCAAGACTTTGCTGGAGATGGTGATATGCAAAACAGACTGGGTCTCTTCTTCTTTCGTGGAGTGACCTCTGGATTCCAGTCAGCATCAGAGGCATCATAATCTGAAAACCTGTTGCATGATGCAAGAAGAAAACAAAAACATTACAAACGTACTACACTAATGGCGCTTTTCCACTACACAGTACCAGCTCGCCTCGGCTCGGCTCGGCTCGACTCGACTCGCCTTTGTTTGGTTTTCCACTGTGTAAAAGTTGTACCTGTACCTGCTTTCGGGTACTTTTTTTTCGTACCACCTCCGGCGAGGTTCCAAGCGAGCTGAGGCGAGCTAAGCCGATACTAAAATGTGGCGTGAAAACAATGCCGACTGCTGATTGGTCACAGAGAATCTGCGTCATCATTGCACGCGCCAGATGGAGTATCCAGAATAACCCCGCCATTTTTAAATAGTTTGGCCAGAGATAGTTACTAAACTTACTACTATTATTATGGCAAGTCGGAAGAATACGCCGTGGTCAAACGAGGAGGTGCAGACATTCCTTTGTTTGGTTGCCGAAGAGAGGATCCAGCGAGAGCTTGATGGGGCAACGAGGAACGAAATGCGTCGCTATGACGACCCGGTACTATTTGTGGCGGTACTTTCTGCAATGGAAAACGGAGCGAAAAGCGAGCCGAGTCGAGGCGAGCCAAGGCGAGTCGAGTCGAGTCCAGCTGGTACTGGTAATGGAAAAGCGCCATAAGCAATAACAAATGTAAAACAATCAAAAAAGACTTGCTGAATTAATCTTTTTATTTTCTACAACATAATATGAGTTATATTACATTTCTGAATGCTGTGTTAATGTATTTATTTCTAGATTGTTCTACAAAAACTGAAGGGATTTTTGTTGTTTATACATTTCTATATTTAATTAACTTATAATGTGCCTTCAAACAAAGAGACATAGCTCATGTTTATTATGATAAATTACTTCAGGAATACATCAATGCGTTCAAACTTGAAAAGCTGTAAAAAAAAAAAAAAAACATGGACCTGGAGTACATTACACACTTTGAATTTCTGGCACGCCCATTTCGGTTCCCTCGTATTATTTATGAATGGGAGAAACTACAACACGCAAAATTGCGGAATACATCCCGCCTTCAAAGTAAAAGAGCCAATCGCTGATTGGTAAAGTCGTGGCGTCACTGCAGTTGCCGTTAGAAGCTCTGGTTCCCATAGAAACCTGAGACTCGCGTTTATCCGCAATGGCTTGGTCTACCCCGACAAAAAAAAAAAAATTCACGCTATTTGAGCATAAGAAACAACATTTATGGGACAGATCATGTCAGATGTTGTTGCTGATTTGAAATGTTATTTAATTTTGAGTTCAGCAAGCAATTTTTAAGATTTCTGGATTCCCCCATTCAAATAGGGCTTGGTCTTCTTGGATCCCCGAAATAGCTACCCGGAGGCGTTGCAAATATGGGCTCCCAATGAACAGACTTTCATTGAAATGGAGTTTAACCCCTCACAGCCTCGCTTTCATTTCCATTGGAAATCAAAGATGGAGCTGCTGTGAATAAGGTCTATTGATCTGTGTTGTTGGGGGTCTAGCACCAGGGATAGGAAGAATGTTTTCCAACAAAGCACGGTGTCTCGATCCCCACAAACGCGCTTTTCTTTTCTTTTTTTGATTCCGTGATGCGGTCAAAACAACACGTTCACACAACATTCACACAGTTTAAAACATGTTTAAACAGGTGTGTGCGAATCTACTGTATGAAATTGACACCGTTTCAAAACGTGACCGAAGGGCATATTTTTAAGAAAAACAGAAAACACCTTCACCCAAACAGACGCAGAACTTAAAAATAAATAAAATAATGTGAATAAAGTCGCGGGTTTAACTGGATTCGAGTGTAATGCTGCGTGAAAATGAAAAATAATATTCAAAAACACATTAATTGCATTTACAATTTCAGTAATCATCATCATCATCATCATTATTATATAAAAAAATTGGACAGTGTTACAAAACATAAGTTAAAGTGGCTATAGAGACCTTGTCACAACTAAAATGAACTGGAAAAAAAGCTTGCGGAGTCCACTTTCAAAAACATATCGTCAAGTCAAGCTAAGCCAATTTAATTTATGGTGCTTTTACAATTATATTAATTCAAAGAAAACTGTTAATATTGGGTCAATTGACAAGTAAATATGTTTCTCAGTTAGAGGGGAACATGTTGCACGCAAGACAAGGCTGTAGCCTACATTAATAGGCTACTTTAAAATAAATCGGCTCAATTAACTTCTCATTCATTCATTGATACATTTGAGATGTTGACATGCAAAAGCACAGGTTATTTTCGTATAACAATGACGAACTTGTGGAAATATACATGAACTTACTCGTCCAGAACGGTATCTAAATAATCGAGGGATATCTCCTCTACTGCAGAGTCCACGCAAGAAGCGACACTTTCTTTATCAGATGAAGAATCCCATTCCTCTGTCTCGACTTGTTCTTCATCGCTGTTAACACATTCCTCCGAGCTGTCCAGAACACTGTCAACCTTCTCCTTATTGCATGCATCCATCTCTAAATGCAGTGCTGAGTTAAAGTCGCAGATAGTAAGGCAAACCTCTCCAGCAAGTGCAGCAAAAACACCATGCGGTGATTTATTGCAGAATGAAATTAACCCGTTAACCACCGAGATCGCACTTCTATTCGCTGTTGTTCTTGTCTATCATGATTTTATCATAATGTTATTGGCCAGCTGCCTTCAGATTAAGCAACAGGTATACCTTGCCTGGACGTCACCGGGATTAGTCGTCCTGATTGGATATTTTGAAATAAAGCGCAATTATTTTTTTATCTCCCGAAGGAATGTTTTTCGATTCATGTCAGGACTTTTTGAATGAACATGCCTACATAAGAAAAGCAAAACCTATACCTCTAAACTAGCAAGAAAGTCTCTCAACTATGGAAAAAATAATATTTAGAATAGGCTATACGTTTGTACGTTTTATCTTATAATTGTGTGATTAAAAATAACTTATTTGGGTCACAAGCAATTACAAAATTTAAGCCAATAGTGAAAGACATGGTGCCGATCCCTGTTTACAAAGTCCAAAGATGTATGATCCCCGCACAATTACATCATTATAAAAAAAACATATTTTAATAGCTGTCCCACCTTTAACAAATTCAGTCATTTAAAAAAAGTTTTTAAATGGCTTTTTTTAATGATCTTTTTTAAGATCATTTCTGACTTTGTAACAATATTATTCAACAAACTATGCCTAATTACATTTCCAAGAAGTGATTCTGAAAGGGCACTCAATAATAAATGTGTTTAATGACATTCAACTATTTACAAACAGTACAGATATCACTCAAACCAGACTACTTTACAATATTACACACAAGGATATAAAATGTATTTTGAATGTCTACAGTTGTAATACTAATATTAAGCACTTTTCCCACATTCAGGTCCAATAGATCAGACTACAGCAGGTAATGGTACCAATAGCATTTCAATGAGAACACATTTTGATACAATTATAAAATGCAAGTGAGCTAACAGTGTTTAGGACAGGAGAACCACAATGGTACATTGGATTTATTCGCTCACAACTGCCCAAATACATTCTAATCCTGATTTTGCACCATAATGAACAAAGAAACCATAACTGTGTCAATAAATCTGGATCGGTACTAAATGGCACAATTCGGTCAAATAACAAGTCAAGTCAAATATATTTATATAGCGCTTTTCACAATACAGATTGTATCAAAGCTGCTTCACAGTATCAATCGAAACAACTTAACAGTGTTTGTTTATTACTGGAAAAAGACATCCAAGTTTGGTAGAGCTGATCAGTGGTATGATGGGTCATTTAATTTGAATATTCCCAACTGAGCAAGCCAAAGGCAACAGTGGCAAGGAACCGAAAAACTCCATCAAGTGACCCGATGGAGAAAAAAAAAAAAAACCTTGGGAGAACCCAGGCTCAGTCGGGGCCAGTTCTCCTCTGGCGTTTATGAATTAGAGGCCGAATTTACAGTAACTGTAAGATAAAAAATTTATATGAATGCCTGGCTAAATAGATGCATCTTTAGTCTAGTTTTAAACTGGGAGAACGAGTCTGAGCAACGAACAATATCAGGAAGGCTATTCCAGAGCTTCGGAGCTAAATGTGAAAATGCTCTCCCTCCTTTGGTGGATCTGGATATCCTAGGTATGACCAGAAGTCTTAGTGATCTTAAAGAGCGCGATGGATTATAGGGCGATAGAAGATCCGTTAAATAGACTGGAGCTAAACCATTCAGAGCTTTATAAGAAAAAAGCAATACCTTGTAATTAATACAGAACTTTATAGGTAACCAATGAAGTGATGATAGAATCGGTGTTATATGATCATATTTTCTTGATCTAGTAAGAAGTCTAGCGGCTGCATTTTGGACTAACTGTAGCTTGTTTATTGAAGATGCAGGACAACCATCTAATAAAGCATTACAGTAATCTAGTCTCGAGGTCATGAATGCATGAACTAACTTTTCTGCATCAGAGACTGATAGCATATTACGTAGCTTAGCAATGTTTCTAAGGTGGAAAAAGGCTGTTTTTGTAACATATGAAATATGCTTTTCAAAAGACAGGTTGCAGTCTAATGTAACACCCAGGTCTTTTACTGTAGCGGATAAAGTAACAGGGCATCCTAATATGTTAAAGTCGTGCTGTGAAAGGTTTTGTGGACGGTTTTTAGAACCGATAAGTATTACCTCTGTCTTGTCTGGATTTAATAAAAGAAAATTACGCGTCATCCAATCTTTTATATCTTTAACACAATCTGTCAATTTGGATAATTTAGCGTATTCATCTGGCCGTGACTGTGCAAAAGCCCTAAAAATAGTTCCAGTGCAACAGAATAAAACTGAGAGAAAAAGAAAGTGTCAATTTCCAATTACATCTACTTACTACACCTACTATTTCAAGTGTAATGTTCTTTTCTATGATATTTCCAGTTTATCAGAATATACAAGCCTCAAATGCCATTAGTCATTGTCAACGGCTTGCTGGTTTCATGTTGCATTTCTTTCTATTTCCAGAGTTTGATCATGCTTTTATACCTTGATTTCTTTAGGTTGGCAGTTTGGACTCGGGTCCCACTTTATATTAAGTGGCTTTAAGTACTATGTACTTACATCGAAAAACAATGTACTTATTGTGTTCATGTTGTACTGTAAAACAGTTTTGCTGCTATTGAGGTGTGATACGGGTAAGGTTAGGAACAGGTGTGGTGGTATGGGTAGGTATAAGGGTGGGATAAGGTGTAAGGAAAGGGTCAACTGTGTAATTAAAAAATGTAAATACATAAATTAATTACAGCTGTAATTACATGCTGGTATTTTTTAAATATAAGTACAATGTAAAAACATTTATGTACACAATAAGTCCATTGTATCAAATTATTAATGTCAATGTAAGTACATTGTATTAAGTGACTTTAAGTACTAAGAGGGACCTGGACTTGTCTACAAATGAACTGCTCTTTAAGTTTTACTCTGAGTCAGACTCATCAGAGGGACCAGATTTATGCCATTTACTGTAACAGTCGCGATTCGGAACAAAGCACAATTGCACCTGACAAGTTTCGCACATGACTGGGGTTTTGCGGGAACACATTTTGCAGTTCCGCCTTCCTAATGTGCTGTGTCCTCTGATGTACTTAGGCAGGTGTGAGTCAGTCGAAGGAATCGGGCATATTTGCGCAGGAGCAGATGGAGGTCCTGTTCCTGCGAGCTCTCTAACAAGAGCCTCCCGGAAGGCCTTCTGGGTCAAAGGCTTCTGGTTCTTTATCCTGGCCATCTGCTGGTGCAAAATGAAGGCATTTACTACAGCGATGTCCACAAAGTGGTAGAAAAAGGACCGATACCACTTTCTTGTTTTATGTAGAACGGTGTAATATCCGATAAGCGCGTCAGACAGATCCACTCCTCCCATGTGCCTGGAATGACAGTAAAATGTATTAAAAGACATGTAATTTAAAAGGCATAACTACCACTGATTAAAGTCTACTAACTTGTTGTAGTCCAACACTGCAGGTGGAACGGGGAAATCTTGAATGGCCCAAACTCCATCGGCTCCTTTCACATTCCTCTTTATGGTGTCTCCATTAAAGGCTTTATGAAAGGTGGAGCACATCAGCACATCCCTCTTGTCCTTCCACTCAACAAACAGCAGGTCGTCTTCCCGAAACCAGCGGATATTGCCACGAGGAGCCAGTTTCTTTGAGTGGCCAATGCGGTTCGCTCGAACGGTGCCACAAGCCCAGATCTTCTTAGCGAGCAAGTCTCTGAAGAGCTTGGGACTGGTGTAAAAGTTGTCCACAAACAGCTTGTAGCCAGCACCCAACAACCTTGCATTTGCCAAGCTCATGACAGCATCGTAACTAATGCCTTTGCTCTGCTCTACATTCATTTTTCCCTCATAAATGAAGAAGTCCCATGTGTAGCCACAGAGTGAATCTGCCAGTACGAAGAGTTTGTACCCCCATTTCGTAGGTTTGTTTTTCATATACTGTTTGAGACCATGTCTAGCTTTTGATGCCACCATTCTTTCATCAATAGAGATGTTCTGAAAGGGATGAAAAGAGGATCTGCATGCGTCCCTAATGTCCTGGTACAGCGGTTTGATCCTACACAGGCGGTCATATTCAGGCGTTCCCTTCTTTGCGTCATTCTCTGCATCCACTTTGGGGTCACTAAGATGGAGAGCCGCACATATGCGAAGAAATGTTCTCCCAGTCATGATTTTTGCAGGATATGGAAGACTGTAGATGTCTGACCTCCTCCAATAATCCGACATGCGGAAGCATTTCAGCAAACCCATGTAAATCACCAGTGCTAGAAATGTCTTGAAGTCTTTTACAGAAATGTCCTGCCATGGCTTCTTCGTTCCTTTATGACGCATGGCTCCATATGCATTTGAATGTGATAAAATTGTCTTCATCACCGATTTTGAAAAGAACAACTCAAAATACTGTAGAGGACTGCATGATGCATTGGAGACCAACTGTGGGCCGGGTGTTAGTCTAGGTCTGAAAATTGGCTGAGTCGGCTCAATATCAGGCTCATCTGCACTTTTCCACTTGTGTTCTGAGATGGAAAAAGGTAGGGATCGACTCACACTGCTTTTCCTACCTTTCCCTTTCTTACTTTGTACAGAAGCAGGGGAAGCAGTTCTGCTAGACGTTGCTGGAGATGGTGAGATTGAAGACAGACCGGTTCTCTTCTTCTTTCGTGGAGTGACCTCTGGATTCCAGTCAGCATCAGAGGCATCATGATCTGAAAATCTGTTGCATGATGCAAGAAGAAAACAAAAACATTACAAATGTACTACACTAGCAAGAACAAATGTGAAAAAATCAAAAAAGACTCGGAAGATGCGGAATTAACTTTTTATTTTCTAAAACTTAATATGAGTTACAGTACATTTCTGAATGCTGTGTTAATGTATTTATTTCTAGATTGTTCTACAAAAACTGAAGGGATTTTTGTTGTTTATACATTTCTATATTTAATTAACTTATAATGTGCCTTCAAACAAAGAGACATAGCTCATGTTTCTTATGATAAATTATTTCAGGAATACATCAATGGGTTCAAAATTGAAAAGCTGTAAAAAATAATTATTTAAAAACCTGGACCTGGAG